TTAAACCTATTTCCAATATAAATCTTTTTCGCAACAATTTGTCTTTTTTTTGTTTATATACTAAAATTGCAAAAAAAAGCCAAAAATGCTAAAAATATTTTATAAAAATGCTAAATAAAATGCCAAATGCTAAATTAAAATTTTACAGCTAAATCTAGCTGCAAAAATGCCAAAATGGTCACACTGCTGATGTAGGGCATGAACATCTTTTAATATTCTGAATGAAAATGGTTTGAGAAAAAATTAAGTTCAATTCATACAATTTATTACAAAATTTCTTCCAGTTATGTATTAATTTTTTCTGTGTTAGAAAAATTAAAATTTATTAATTGATAAAGTACAAAAAAAAAGTAAATACTAAATGTTTATAGTTGAGAAAACTGTATTACCTACATCTGTGTGACAATTTATTAATATTTTTGTATTTCTTATGCGTTTTTATGTAAAACTGAAAAAATAACGAAATACTGAACAAATACAGAACATTAAATAAAATACAGAACCAGATAATTTATAGAGAACAGGGCTCTAAAATACAGTACTGTTCTGTATAATACAGAACGACGTCTGGTCACCGTAATTATAAGGGAATGTATGTATTTGTCTACCCTTAAACTTTTTGAGAAAGATAAACGGTTGTATTCATAAAAAGTTAATTTAGGTTTATTAAACATTATTAAGCAAAATCCACGAAAATGGTATTCATAAACGTCAAATAGCTTAAAATACCTTCAATAAACCAATGACAAATAGAAAAAATTTATTGTACGCTCGACCCTACTTTAAGCCAACAATAAGTTGAATTCTTACAAATTTTGTCTCTGATTAAGCTTTTTTCATTAATTTTAGGTTGAAGACGAAAACTAATCATGTTTTATTCTGAAATGAAATCTAAAAATTGTAATTTTAACGTTTACAAATTTGTAAATAAAATTCCAGATAAATTTTAAAAATTTCTATTTTGATGAAAAAACTAAAATCTAGGCATTATTGGATTAATAGATGAATATTTGACAGTATTCCAATGGGTCAATACTATTTTTGGCAATTTGGAAATGCCCGCCTGTCAATCAAATCATGGCCACAATCATTTTATTTGTCTTTTTCATAGTTTATTCGCTAAATATAAAGGCATGAAGTAATTAAAGTATCAATGCAAAATATCTTCTCCGGCAATAAAATGTAGTCTTTTATCAAAGAAATTTATCAGTATTTGCAAAAATTTATTAAAAATTGCTATAAAAATAAGTAAAAATAACAAAATGTGCATAGTGATGTTTATTTTGTCACAAAATATTCGTTATTCGAATACTTTTAATTATAATTAAAAATATATATGTTATATTCATTCATCTGAACTAAATATATATTTATTGTAGCCATGTATACATTTATTTTTCTTAAAAGTTCGTTCTTATTTTCAAAAATGTGTTATAACCAAAAATATAAAATTAAGAAAACCGACTCAACGAATATTTTATCCTAATTGTTCGCAACACTAACACAGAAAATGACAGCCAAATTGTACAGTGCTGCCAAGTTAAACAATAAACAGCACAATAGTTAATGTAGATTTATTATTTGTTTATGAATACCACAATTTTATTAATGGCTTTTAAGTCTAAAGTGTACTTTAACTATTGTGTGATTTAAATCTAAAATAAGCATTTTTTATGAATACAACTGAAAAACTTTAAATGTGGTAACACCAAATATAATATAAAATATAATAAAAGGTAGTTGTAGTATATTTTTAGGCAGCGTCAAAAATAATAATCGATCGAGGCCAGTGTGACCATTTTGCCATTTTTGCATATAGATTAAATTTATTTTTAAATTAACTAATATGATTACACAAGTTTACAAACTAATACTTTTTGTTTGCTCATGGAATAAATCATATATTTTTGGAAAGGGTTAATTTAATTAACAATTCTTATTTTTCCTATACGTCGAAATTTTGAGTTTACGTGGTTTTCATTTACCATCTTCCTTCCTACCATCTTCCTTCAGTTGGAAAAATATTTCAAAATGAGTATCGATTTCTGGGTGCTTGCACCTCTTTTGGAAACCTAAATAAATTACGAAAATATTATTGACATTTTATTCCAGTACCTCGTTTTTATATTATTCAACTCGAGATACTTTCCGCTAGGAACGAGTGAACACAAACAGAAATAATGTGAATTAAAAAAAATTTTCTTTTTTTTCACACAACTGTTTCTGAAATATTGTTTTATGGAAAATGTTACGTATTTTTCTAAAAAGAAAAAAATCATATACATAGTTCGAAAAGTAGGTAGGTCACGTGGGTGCTCGATAGCAAGCGAGTTCACTCGGAGGCCTCGTGGCCCATTGTGATACCCTTAGAATTACCATTCCCTAATATTGAGAGAATGGATTCCCTCCCTAATTTCGTTGAGTACTTGGTTCTCAACGAAATGAGAAATGATGTTTATTAGTGACGCATCTCTGAGATCTCTAGATCATGGAAAAGAGCTCTACCAAGATAAATTAGTCTGTGCTCTTGTAATTCTGGGCAGTCACATAGAAGGTGTTGTACCGATTCCACTTCTTCTTCGTCCAAGCAACTCCTACAGTAACTATAATTTGGGTAGCCCATACGTTCCGACATATGTATGTCCAATCATACAGTGCCCAGTAATTATACCAGTTAGAAGCCTAATAGAGTCCTTAGTAAGAGACAAGAGAGACCTAGTCCTATCTGTTGTCAGTATTCTACAAGTGGTGATATTTGACCACCTGAGTTCCGTCTCACTCAAAGTTCATTCAGCTATCAATTTTGATACGGTCGTTAGGGGAGTGTGAATATCCTTTTGCGCAAGGGTTAAGTCTAGGGACGACCCTTTGGTTGCACATTCATCAGATATTTAATTTCCCCGGATGCCCTCATGTCCTGGAACCCATATCAACTCAAAATGATGTTTTGTCAGTTGTGCCAATGATTGAATACAATTGAGAAGACATTTCGACGTAATAACGTTGGATTTTTGGAAAAGATTCCCGATCCCGTGCCACATTCTGTATTTGAGCCATCAGTATAGATTGAGATCACGTCGTCCCTTAGGACAGTGTTCGCGGGCCAATCATCCCTTGTCGGTATTGTGGTCTTGAATGACCTATTAAAATTCAGTGTAGATAGAATGTAGTCTGTATTCCGCCCAATGATTGGCCTGCTTATCTTTTGTAGGATGGGGAGTTATGTTTAGCATCGTCTCCAGACTAGCCTGAGGGGTGGAGCCCAAACAGCCGGTGATTGCAAGACATGCTAATCTTTGTACCTTGTTTAGAATGGAGAGATAAGTTTTGGTATCCACCGCTCTCCACCAAACAAGAGCTCCGTAGGTCAGAATAGGTCTTATAACCGCGGTGTACATCTAGTGCACAATGTATGGTTTTCCCAAAGGTTTTCTTACATATATAGAAGGCACATAATGCCTTCTTCATTCGACTCTCAGCATTACGTTTCCACGAGAGCTTAGAGTCTAAAATTACGCCAAGATATTTGGCTTCACTTGAGGTATTTAGAATAGTACCATCCAAACGCTGAGGTCTGAATTCTGGAATTTTGTACCTTCTGGTGAAAAGAACCAGTTCAGTTTTGGTCGGGTTGACACCCAGACCGTTTTCCTTGGCCCATGATAGTAGAACACTGAGGGCTGATTTCATGAGTTCACTTATTGTGGGAAGATATTTCCCTTGAATAAGAAGCACAACGTCGTCAGCATATGCGACTACTTTGAAGCCCATTCTACTGAGTCTGAAAAGGATTTTATTTACGAAAAGATTCCACAGGAGTGGAGAGATGACATCACCTTGTGGTGTGCCCCTTGTCACAACTTTCCTTGTCTTGCCAATACCCATATTAGAGTTAATGGCAATGCATGTTTTTGGCCAATTTTTTATCCGCTGATCAACACCTAGGTCACCCAGTGCATCGACTATTCCGGATATGTTCACGCTGTTGAACGTACCTTCAATGTCTAAGAAAGATGCCATAACATATTCCTTTATGTCAAGTGCCTTCTCTATGGTTCCGACAACGTCATGTAAGGCTCTCTCCACCGACCTCCCTTTCAGGTTTTGTGCCCTACAGAAATTATCAGGAGAGATGATGTTCCTGGCATGGATGTCGACCAATCTTTCCAATGTTTTCAATAAAAACGATGACAGACTGATCGGCATATAATATTTGGCAGTATTATGGTTTACATAGTTCGAAAAATAACTGTAAAATTTTTTCAGTTTTAAAACATAGAGTGGTTTTAAATATTAATAATATATAATTAATATAAATTTATAAAAAATGGCTGCGATAATCAAAGAAAATGTATTTTATATTTTTTTTTATTAAATTTTTATATTAAGGGTTTTAATTTAAACCTTAAGTTTCCTATTTGTGTAAGTTTATTCGATTTGTTTCATGAAACCCTTATTCAAATTCTGTTCAATTACAATATTTGTATACATTTTAACACAATGTCAAATGAAATTAAAAAATACAAAAATATATAATTTTAAACAAAAAAATATAAAAAATCGTCAGTATATTATTGGTTTGACCCACCGGCAAAAAAATAAGTTAGGAGTGGATTGTATATAATTTGGACATCCTCTTTCCGATTCCGAAACCCATTTTTCAATATTTGGTACCAATTCCGAGATATCGGGTTTTAACTTTGGTCTATATCCACAATATTAAGACTAAATAAATATTGTTTTGCTCCATACGCCACTGTTTGGCGTATAGACAAAAATTGAAAACAAATTAGTCACTATTGTTTTGACGTAACAAAAACGTAGATCAAAGCATACATAACAAGGTGTTTTTAAACTCTTGTTTACATTATTTGTATATCGATTTTGACAGATATATAACACTGAGTGTTATTTTTGCAGCTTACAGCTTTGACAGTTTTTGTATACATATAAAATATGTGTTGGTCTGGTAACAACATCTTATAAATTTAGTGAGAATATCATCAACAAATAAATAATTTGAGCGCTGAAGTAAAAACGGAATTTTCATCACCACCGCCGTTTTTGTCCGAAGAAATTATTCAGTAAGTAGTATTTAATTGTTTGTCTGACATATTGTAATATTTCTATGCCATTTAGTATGTTTGATGAAGATTTAATACCCATAAAATCACCATCAGAATGTGCATTTAAAGTAGCAGATCACGAATGTCTTGCAAATAGGTAAATATTATTTTTAGGTTTTTGGAATACTTTTTTACAAATGAAGTCAGATTTTTAACTTCAATATCACCAAACGTTGATATAACATAAGAAGAACTGGAAGAAGCTAATAGGTAAGTTGTTTGCAATTTGTTTAAAAACAAAATTTAATAAAATACCTATATCCAATTTAAAATCTCTTCATCCACTCCAAAGAAAAGGAGGAATCATGGAAATGTAACATACAAAAAAAGCTCAGAGAATCGGGAAAGGATCACATTAGCATAACTAATACCAAAATGCCAGCAAGAAAAATGAAACCAGCATGCCACAATTGTTTTCTAAAATTTACATATATTTTTTCTGAAGAAGATCGTATGAATTTGTACCAATATTTTTGGAATATGTCTGATGACGAAAAAACAACTTTTTTATTAAATTTGTTTCCCAGCATCCTGTAGTACGCCGTAGAACATAAAAAAACAGTTTTCGTTTCTATATTATTTGGAAAAAGATAAAATAACCTACCGTGTATGTCGAACTTTTTTTTTTTTTGAATACATTAAGCATAAATCAAAAGAGAATATATTATTGCTTTGAACACTTAAATGATGCCAGCACGGGAATTCCTCATCCACGAAAAAAGGCAAGGATATTAAACGAGTGACACCTCCAAAAAAATTAGCTGAAGTTCGAGAACACATTTCAAGTTTTCCGGTCATTGATTCTCATTATTGTCGAGCAAATTCTAAAAAAAATATATTGAAAACCCTATTGCTCTACATATTTTACGATCAGTTTTCAAAAACGATTTTAACATTTCTTTTTACAAACCTAAGAAAGACCAATGCGACAAGTGTGCTTTGTTTAACAACAAGGATAATGTTTTAACAACCAACGGGAAATCCATTTATGAAGAACATAAGACTGAAGAAGATGCATTGAAGTCAGATCATGATAACGATAGACAAAATTCGGAGCAGACAAATTGCACAATTTGTTATGATTTACAAAGTGTATTTAGTATGTCCAAGGGAAACGCATGTATATTTTATTACAAAAGAAAATTAAGTATGTATGACCTTACAGCTACTATTATTATACCAAATGTACCAATATTTACTTATAGTGGTCGAAGTGATATAGCAAGCGCACTAATTAAAATTTTAAATCAATTAGTAAAAGATTTTCCTGACATTAAAACTATAAAATCATGGAGTGATTCTTGCGTACCACAAAACAAAAATAGAATAAATACCACCGCAATAAAAATGTTCCTTAAAAAAATAATATTGACATGATAATACACAAATTTTCGGAACCGGGGCATTCATTAATACAGGAAGTGGATTGTGTTCATGGAGTAATAAACAGATATTTAAAAAATATGGAGATCCACAGCCCTCTCCATCTCATCAAACTATTTGAAAATATGCCTACTAATAAAACAAAATTAAAAGTTTTAAGGATGCTTCCAAATGATTTCTACTCCTATTCGCTGGTTGCAAATAAAATGGAACATCGAAATGTCCCATTTTCTAAAATTAAAGTTATATTATATCAAAAACCGACAAATTAAATATTCATGTAGAGATAAAGAGTTTTGGAAAGCAGCGTTGATAAAACCAGCGTCAAAAAATTTTTTAAAACTCCAAAAGATATTTTAGCACATAAATTACAGATAAAAAAATATATTAAAGACTTACTTATATTTTTACCAAATATTGACAAAGGTTGTTTTAAAAATTTGCTTCAAATTTAATTTTTGTCTTAAAAGCAACTTTTTCTTAAAAATGTTATATTAATACTTTAGAAAAGTTTTTTTTAGTTTTTTATAAAAATAGTAGGACTGCTTTTTTATTTTAATAAATATAAATACAAAATTTAATTAAGAAAGATCTTTATTCCATATTCAAGGGGATTTCCACAGAAAAAATACTTGATACAAAGAAAAAACAAAAAAGAAATATTCTGTATGTATGGATATAGACCCTAAAAATTGAACACAAAAATAAAAAAATACCAAATGGAGAAATTGGTAGAATTAATGACGACCAATTTAGAACTGGCAAGAGGGCAGTTCGATGTTATCAGCGGAAAAATAAGTTCTAAAGAACAGTGGGAATCCATCGCTTTAGCTATGAACTCATTGAGAGGAAGTCAGAAGACTGTTGGTCAATGTCATCTATTTTAGTGTTGGTTAAATTTAAAAGGATCCGTTAAAAAACATACATATGTATCAACAACAGAAGATCTTTTATAAACGAAACTGGTGGTGGCAGTTGGGTCGATGTGCCACGGGATTTAAATTATTTTGAAGAAAAAAATTTACAAATTATGACGGTGGATGCCGTCGATGGTGATGCACGAACCCCGGAATCAGGGATTAATTTAAACGTGGTGAGTTGTAATGACTTAAAATGTAAGACTCAACTAGTAATCTAATAATTAGGACCAACAATATGCATATGTAAGTGCATTTATGGATCTAATACTAATGTTTTGACGTGTTTGACAAAACAAAAGACAAATTCAAAATAGTCCCCCCCATCCAAATGATCTGGGTATATTTACAACTCTTATATGGTCGGATCGGACACACTCCCCTACATTGTTATTTCTTTAATATTAAATATGTATTAACAAGTTTTTTTTAAGGTTTCTGATTATAGTGTAGAGTGTTTAGAAGATGTTGACGTTTAAGAAAAAAAAAAATTGATTTCTCTTGACAATTTAAGTGACCACAAAGCTCTTAAAAGAAATGGTCTAAGCTTTAATTTGAGAAAAAACAACAACAAAAACGTCCATTTTGAAAAAAATAGGGGAAAATTAAGTCCCAAATATTGAAAAAAATCTTATTCTTAAGTTAAAAAATACTTTTTTTTTTTATAGATATCCCACTCGTATGCCATTATGGGACTATAAAGCCCTTAAAGGAAATTGTCTAAGGTTTCGTTTGAGCAAAAAAAAAAAAAAATGGAGTTTTTTGAAAGAAAAGAATTAAAAAATTATTTATATACAATTTTTGCTAGGACCAATAGGTGAAAAGTTACAGTCATTTGAATAAAACCCTGTATATCAAAAATGTCCAACTTTGACCCCCTCTAAGTGCGGCAGTTCTGGACCAATAGCGCTGATAGTCTGGTCTATATATCCAATAGTACTAACCTTGGTGCAAATTTCATCAAAATCGGAAGACATCGATTTTTAAAGTTGGGTAACTTGACACGAAATGACCCATATGTATGTAGTATGTATATGGCAAATAGTGGTCAGACCAACATATATATTTTTATGATGATAGTAAGGTATAGCTAGTAACATACATACATAAACCCAGTAAAAAATCTGAAATTTTTGGTAATAGCCAGTAGTTATTTCATACATTACTTGGTAATGAGTGTTCATTATCATCCACATTATTTCATTTAGCTGAATAGGTTATTACTGGTAAAGAACAAAATAATTTGGATTTGTTATGGCTCAATTGTCTAGGTCGTTCATTTAACAAACAGGGGGTTCGTGGTTCGAGCCCTGCTGGATACTGTTTATTTTTTTTTGAAAATGACATTCATTTATATATTTTCTCAAAATTATAAAAAGCAACATGTTAATGGAGCATCGAGTAAGCGGCTGCAGTGAGAAACATAGAAAAAACTGAATGCCTGGGTTCAAATCCCGGCCGAGGAATTTTTTATTTTTTTGTTTTCTACATACAAAGTCGGCCCAAAATAACTAGCTATCACATAACATATTTGAAGGTTTATTTGTAACTAGTTATTTCGCAAAGTTTTTGTAATCAAATTAGTAACCATTTATTAATTTGTTTAAGGTAGGTACATATTATTTGAACCTCGTCGAACAAAAATAATTAGTTATTCACCCCAAAAGTAATTAGTTTCCACGTGATTGCAATATTACTTTCTAGATTACTAGGTAATGAAAATTTTTGCTGGGAAGGGTTAAAACAATATACGCTGTAGTTTTAGTCAGGATTTCCAACAGTAAAATTATATTTCTATATTAAGCATTTCTTGTCTTATCTTTGATATAAAGTAAAACCCAAAGCGATTATTAAAACTAATACGGCGATAGATAGCTTGCAAAGTGAATTCCCCACACGGATTTAATTTATTAACAAATATTTATTTATTATCATAAATCACTTCTGCATTATCTTTTCACTGCTTTTAACTTTTAAACAAACAAGTTAAACTTATAGCGTTTCAATTTAAATGAGAGATTATTTCATAAACGTCATGTATTTGATAATAAATATTTTAATTTAATTAACAGTACAAAAAAAGCAAATGCTTTTCAAATAATAAAATAATAATTAACATTTTGAATATTGGGTTTACAATAGTATATGTATTTATATTTTGAAACTTTTCCACCAATTAATGGTTCTTGTAAAGATAAAGAGGGAGTAGTATTGTTAGGAACCTCATTTTTGGCAGAACGGAAGACATTTACGGACGAGACCTTTGATGACTTCTTTAATTCAATTTCGTCCTTAACTGACAGACTAGAGGATCAAATTTCTGACAGTGTCTTGTGTGCGATATTTGTTCGAAATCTTCGAACTGATATACGACACAAACTTTTACATTTAGATATATTTTTGTTTTTTTTTACTTTGATCTGCCTTGAATTACATCAATCCATTTAAAACATTCGAAAAAATTACTAACGGCCATATCTAAATAAAGACGTTGCGTCCCATATATATTTTGTGAAAATAAAAACAAATTACAAGTAACGCAACGCTCAACGCCTTTATTTAGGTACGGCCGTAAGACATCTAAATATGTATATAAATAGTTATTTCGAAAAAGTATAATTTTGTATGTAAGTTTTTGCTGGGAATGTATTATATACAATGTAGGCTATATTTTCTGAAAAATTAATATATTTTTTTATACATGATATAAAAACTATCATAGGAGTGTTGCTTTTGTCTCAGAATGGACCCCCGAAACCAGCATAATAATAATCATTCTTTTTGATTTGTAAATTAAACATTTTCGACGTGACAAAATTTTGAGAAAGTACGTTTTTCAAAAACTTTGGAGGACTTTTATAATTTTTGATAAAATATTAAACAATTATGAACCGTTTTTAAATCGTTATATATATATATACTATTCAAAACGAACCAACATCCCCCCCCCCGGGGCATGTTTCCTTGATGAAAGACCCTCACCTTCGTTTATTGCAATTCCGGGGTAAAGAGGTGTTACCAGTACCTCTAGTCTGCCGAGAGTATGAACTGGTGATGTCATTGCACTCCTTGGCTAGTCTTTGGAATGATTTGACATGTGGTCTAACCAGAGAACCACATAATTTGGTACTACGG